GAGGGTGCAGGGTGCAAAAAAATCAAAATATTGAGAAAATCATCTTTAAAGTTGTCCAAATTAAGTTCTGCATATTACTCCCATACAATGTATTGTTGGCTATTGCTACAAATATACCCCAGCGACTTAAGACTGCTTTTGTGCTCCAGGGTCACATATGAATACGAAAAACGTTGGGAGTCACAACAGGCCTAAATTACCAGCATAAAAACACACACAGCAAAATATTGTCTAGTTACTGATATCGACAAATTTCCCCAAAAGTATTGAGATCGTTTTTTTGTCAATATCGCTCACCATTATGTTTAAGTGGTTAAGTGCATAGACAACAAAACATTAAACCAAGTGGCATTTATAAGAAACAGCTCAAGCACACATTTTATGGGGAAAACATAATAATTAATTTTGCATAGATATAATGCTTTGTTCATGTTCATAGTTAAAGTGACAATCAGACCCAAAGGTGCAGTCTGTAGAAATCTCATAGAGCGTGGTGAATTAGTTAAATGTCAAATTAGATGTAAATGTGTTAACATAATTGTTAAACATTTAACATCTGCAGTGCATATACATAGAGAGATAGAGAGCTGTCAAACTAACATTAACATATGCAGTTGCAATTAAATGTTTAACAGTGTCATGTTTTCAAAGTGTTATCTGATGCATTCGTTTTATGTGTAGAATAACTGACTCCGAACAGTGAAGTGTGAGTATTATAAAATCTTAACATGTCATTTGCTTAGAGATTGGACTTAAATAATGCCTATATATTAGGGCTGCACAATTAATCGAATTTCTAATCGCGATTACAATTACGGATGCCACAATTACGTAATAATTCAAAGCAGCAATTAATCGTTCAAAGTCCACTTATGTTATTCTGCGTGCTTAAGATGCGTTTTTTTCTTTCTACAAGTTATCTTAAGGGTTTTCCCATTATTTTAGTTTTAGTTTTAGTATAACATTATACTACCATTCATATTTTTACTTTTTTATAATTTAAAGAAGAAACCAATCCGATGTATATTTGACATTTGAGGCTTAATACTATAGAAAAGCACTAAAGGGTTTACCGTTAGTGTATTTTCAGCTTATTTATTTTCATATAAAAATGCGGCATGCAGTTGCATCAAACAATGGTATAAACATCATTCAATGTAAATTGTGATAACAATTTCAAGGGAATAATAGACAATTATGATTTTTGTCATAATCGTGCAGCCCTACTATATATATATATATATATACAGTATGGATTATATACAGTAAGTCAAAGTCATGTCTTGTTGTTTTTGAAATAGATTTTGGAGTTTGACACCCCTTCAAACCTGCTGGCCGATGAAAACTCACGTTTTTGTGCCATGATGGTGGCAGCAGAAGAAACACTTAGCCACCCCTAAGAAGTCAGCAGGCACTGAAGACACGGAGCCTCCAGCCACCAGACTGAAATCCTTGAAGCTGCTCAAACTGAGATTGTCAGTTTGTTTGTTGTACTTTAAGACGAAGATATTGTTATAGTTAGCACACAGAGAGACTATATAGTGTATGATGTCCTGAAGAAGATGTTGATGGCACTTTATTTGTGTTACTGGCCTGCCGCAGAAGCATCTGGACTCAGTCTGAACAAGTCCCCAACAAGACGACTCCCTTCTGCCTGTGTTTGGTCGAAGTAAATTTTGCACACTGATAATGTATTTGTTTTCCTGTCGTTCAGCATTTTTTTTTTGCTTTATAAAAGTATGCAAGATATGTATCGACCGTAAGGTAACCTGTTGATTTGCCTTCTTTTTATCTGGCATTTTCAGGCATATATGAATCCAACCAAAGATCAATCATATCAATCATTCCGGACATCAGCACAAAACCTTTTATTTTTAATAGAATTATTTTGTAGCATTTCCTTGTGCTTTTGTTGTTACTCATACTGTGTATGTTTTGTGCCTCTGCTGTTACATGTCTGTCAAAAGCATTGTGCAAATAGTGTTTTAGTGACAAAAATGTTCAATGTGAGTTCCTGCAATAATTCAACGAGACCGTGCTGTTCTTATTTGTATTCTAAGTGCATATTTCTGTGTAATCTTGTATCACATCTGCTGTGGTGTTTTTCATTATGCTGGGTTGATTATATTCTCAGAAGATTCATGAAATCTAAAGAGACTTCAGAAATCAAGGTAGTTTCATGCACACGTGGAGGCTGGGAAGATATTAATGCTAAATATCTAATTCATTCTCGAGGAGTGTCTGTACTACTTCATATCAAGACTACACTTTGTGATCTCTTCAGGAATGGATGACTTGATTGTTTTTATTTTTCAGGATGAAAATTGCACATTTAGGTACCTGAATTATGCAAGAATTTGGGTCTATATTTATTTTTTTTTGTATAAATATATATGCCATACCGTGCAGCATATGTTTAGGTATTTATCTTGGAAATATCAAGATGAAGAGAAATCGGTTCACAAACTTAGATATGCTAATCTTTAAGAGTTGCCTTGTCCGTTATGATTCAGAGATTATAGTTTTGTGAACACTTGTTTTATGATCGTTATAAAAAATGCTTTATTGAATAAAGATTATATTTATACATTTAACAGTTGTGTGTGTGTGTGGTACAGGTAAACCCTAGTAAAAAACAATAAAGAAAATAAAAATAATTGACCTTGGGGAGACACTTTTTGGGGAAACAGTTTATAAATCTAATATTTTATTTATTGAAAATGTAAAAATACAATAAATGTTTTCTGTGAGGGTTAAGGGGTAAAATATACAGTACAGTATAAATTGTTTATGGAAAGTTACAATATAACTTGGAAACCCAACGTGTGTGTGTGTGTGTGTGTGTGTGTGTGTG